GCTAATGGCTGGCGCTCTACCACTTGAGCCATGTCTTCAGTCCAGCATTTTGCTGGTTAAATGGAGGTAAGAGTCTCTCAGATTTGTTTGCTGGGGATGGCTCTGATCCTCACATCTTAGCCTCCTGAGTAGCTAGAATTATTAGGCATGAGCCACCAGTACTCAAGTTGTATTATTTTTCTTTTCTTTTTTTTTTGGTCAGTCATGGGGCTTGAACTCTGGGCCTGAATGCTGTCCCTCAGCTCTTCAGCTCAAGGCTAGCACTCTACCACTTGAGCCTCAGCACCACGTCTGGCCTTTTTTGTGTATGTGGTACTGAGGAATTAAACCCATGGCTTTATGCCTGCTAGGCAAGCACTCTACCACTAAGCCACATTCCCAGCCTAATACTTGATATTTTGAAGTAGGGGAGAAGTATAGTTAGTTGGGTTTTTTGCTTTTTTAAAATTTTATTCTTAGTATTTAATACCTCTTGAATCTATTGAGAAGTATAGGCTTGTCCTTTACAAGATAGAAAAAGCTGAGTGCTGGTGGCTCATGCTTGTAATTCCAGCTACTCAGGAGGCTGAGATCTGTGAGACTATCATCTCCAGCTAATCAAGAAAAAGCTAAAAGTGGAACTTTCTGGCTAATATAGTAAAGGAATGGCATCCAGGCCCTGAGTGCAAGCCCCAGGACCAGCACAAACAACAACAACAAAAATAGTAAGAGAAAAGGAGTAAAAACAGTTGATTTTTAAGCTGGGTTAGAAAATAAAATTGAAAGGGCTGGGAAAGTGGCTCAGTGGTAGAGTGCTTGCCTTTCATGCCTGAGGCCCTGGGTTTGATTCCTCAGCACCACATAAGCAAAAATGAAGCTGGAAGTGGCGCTGTGGCTCAAGTGGTAGAGCACTAGCCTTGAGCTGAAGAGCTGAGGGACAGCGCCCAGGCCCAGAGTTCAGACCCCACAACTGGACCCAATAAAAAAAAAAAAGAAAGAAAAGAAAGTTGCAATGCTTGTTCCTTATCCTTGAAAACCTAATTCTTTAAAAGTAGTCATGCACACAGCTGAACAATGTTCTGGTCAATGGTTGACTACATATATTAGTGTCCTGTGAGATTATAATCAAGCTGAATGAAGCTGAAGAATGATTATTGTCTAGTGATATCAAGGTATCAATGTATCTTGCATGTTGTGTTGATGGTATAATAAATCTACTATGCAGCTAGGTGTTACTGGCTCACACCTGTAACCCTAGCTACTAAAGAGGCTAAGATCTGAGGACTGTGGTTTGAAGCCAGCCCAAGCAGGAAATTCCATGAGAATCCTATCTCTAACCACCAAAAAGAAAAAACAACAACAAAAAACCCTGGAGTAGAGTGCCAATGGCTCACATCTGTAATACTAGCTATCCAGAAGGCTGAAATCTAACAATCAGAGTTTGAAGCCAGCCCCAACAGGAAAGTCCATGAGTCTCTTATCTCCACTAAACTACAAGAAAACCAGAAGTGGAATTGTGGCTCAACACTAGAGTGCCAACCTTGAGCGAAGAAGCTCAGGGACAGTACCTTGAGTTCACAGGCCCTGAGTTCACACCCTAGGACAGCCACACAAAAAAGGAAAATCCACTAAACTATGTTATATATAAAAGTGGAACATATGAAGCCAGCCACCAGTGGCTCATGACTCACGCCTGTAATACTAGCTACTCAGAAGGCTGAGTTCTGAGAATCACAGTTCAAAGCCTAGGAAGATAACCTTGTGGGACTCTTATTTCCAATTAACCAGTAAAAAGCCAAAAGTGGAAATGGAGCTCAAGTGGTAAAGCATGCCAGATTTGAGCAGAGAAAGCTATGCAAAAGCACAAGGCCCACCAGGCACTAGTGGCTCACATCTATAATCCTAGCTACTCAGAAGGCTGAGGTCTGAAAATAGCAGTTCAAAACTAGCCTGCGCAGAAAAGTCCACGAAACTCTTATCTCCAATAAACCACCAGAAAACCACAAGTGGTGGAGCGCTAGCCTTGAGCTGAAGAGCTGAGGGACAGCACCCAGGCCCAGAGTTCAGGCCCCACGACCGGACCCCCCCCCAAAAAAAAAGAGAGAGACCCATTTCA